GCTACAGCTTGTAGTATAGCCAAAACACAATGGTCAAACGCGACATGGCGCAGTGATCAAGTTGGTGCAATGCAAAATCATAATTGGGAAAATAGTTCATGTTCAATTTTTGTAAATACCTCAACATGTAATCAAGGTTCTGTACCGGTGCTGGCTGTTGACGCAATATCACCCGAACACGTTCAAACAGCTGTTCGATTCGCTGCGACGAACAATCTTCGTTTAGTTATCAAAAGTACCGGACATGATTATTTAGGTCGATCGACTGCAGCTGGATCTCTACTATTATGGCTTCACCATATGAAAAATATGACACTAATTGAACAATACTCATCCTGTGGTCTCACCAATGTATCTAATGCTATTCGTATAGAAGCAGGTGTCCAATGGGGTGAAGTCTATCGATTGCTGAGTAACTTCAATTTGGTAGCAATTGGTGCAGCATCAGGTACAGTAAGTGCAGTTGGGGGTTACCTTCAAGGTGGTGGCCACAGTCCACTATCGCGTTGGAAAGGTCTTGCTGCTGATCAAATACTTGAATACGATGTTGTAACTGCAGATGGACAACGTCAAACGATAAATGCATGTCAAAATAGTGACTTATTTTGGGCATTAAATGGTGGAGGTGGAGGTACATATGCGATTGTGCTTTCTGCTGTTGTACGAACTTTTCCGTCACCATCTATTGTTGCTGCAACATATTCAGTCAGTGCAGCAAATGCAACTCGCTATGCGAAATTAATTGAAAGCTTCGTCGAAATATTACCAGCACTAGCTGATGCCGGATGGTCTGGCTATTTCGATATAGTCGATCTGACACTGCGTGCTTTATTTCATGTACCTAATGGGGATTTGGCTGCACTCAATGCTACATTGAATCAATTTGCGGCCAACAACAGTGATTTAGATTTCAACAGCACTAATAGTTTTGTTATCCCATCATTTTATCACTACTTTGCCCTTATAATGGAACCAAATAATCCGACTGGCGATGGTTTTCTAGTGAGTTCACGACTTATTCCAGAAAGCATAATTCGGAGTAAACCGGCTCAAGTCGCAGAAGTTTTTGTTCAAGTGAAAGGTCAGAGTACAACTGGATCGAATCTTCGTGGAAGTCTTGTAGCCGGTGGACAAGTATCAAATACAACCAACAGAAATAACAGTATCAATCCTGGATGGCGTACGGCTCTTCTTCGTATGGCTTGTACTCAAAGTTGGTTAGATACAACATCCCAAGCTGATCAAGACTTCTTAGCGGCACAAGTCTTACTTCGAGCAGAAATGTTAGACAAAGTACTGCCTGTTGGTTCACAACCAACCTGCTACGCTAATGAAGCCATTCCAAGTGAACCAAATTGGCAAGAAAAATTTTTTGGTTCGAAAGTGATTTATAATCAACTGAAAAGTATAAAAGAAAAATACGATCCATTCGGACTCTTCGTATGTACAAATTGTGTTGGTAGTGACGATTGGACATCAGATCTTAATTGTCCGAAAACATCAAATTCTATCAAATTCAATTTAAGAATATTTCTTTTACTCATAGAAATATTTGCAATATTATTATAAAACATCAGTAGAAAAAGAGAACTATCGAATATACATTGAACAATATCATGATATGTAGTAAATAAATTAATCATGCGAATTTTTTTTTGTAGAATTTTTTTATTTTTAATAGTTAAACCGTAAGACTTCGCATTTTTTTCCGATGCGATAAATTCATGTACGTCCACAAGACAAACGATTGATTTGACGATGATAGCAACTCTATCAAAATACGTAGAAAAATTCCAATAATGCTCATAAATACCATCAACAGGCGAGCATTATTATAAAAGACCGACTTTAAAAAGAGATGTACTGTATTTTACCATACATTAAGACTATCGCTGGGATTTCTATTGATATGTGCTTGAATATCTGCAAGGCATTCTTAGCTACTGCGATGTCTTTTAATTTTTGTATATGAAGCTTTCATGGTAACCTTGATTATGCGTGTAGTGGTAGTACTGCTCGTTATATTCTTACTAATAACGACAAATACACCCATACTCAGATACTCTCAATCAGCAGAGGAAACTGAGTCGACTTAAGAGCACTTTAATGATTTTTACGAACATTTATTGTCGAAAGATTCAACTCTGTTCCATGTTAGAATCTAGTCAAACAACGTATTAACTGGAACTTTTCTTATTGAACCAGTCTCACAATACTACAAAACCAGGAAAAGATACCCTAGCTCAAACCTTATCGATCTTCGTTCCTAACTGATTGACTCAGCCATAGAGCCACTGTTTTAGGGCTGATAGGAATTAACATTAACTACAACACTGCAAAGACAAGAGATTGAAAAATACCATCCTTTTGTACATTACTTAAGGTATACGATCCAAAGTTGAGCAGACAATATTATAATGATCATTATCGGGTCCGTATGATGTCTATTGATTGGTACAGAACTTAAGACACTTTGTACATCAAAGTTGTAGGAAAAACGCAGTAGATTTCTACTAATATAGTTGTTATGTTAGTTTGCTATGCCATTGGTTGTCATATGTATTCAGATGTACATGTTCACGGACGCGATAAGGTTTCTTGATTACTCAATTTAGTGGTCTTTATATTTAACTAGGATGATATTTCAAACACTAAATTGTCTAGCACTTAGGAGGGAACATTTCCAAGTGTCACATAGCTTTTGAGTCGGCCGTATGGAGATTACGTAGATCCTAATGATCTATGAATCCTCCCAAAAAAGTTCGTGCCGCTAGCTTCTTACTGCTGAGATATAACATTTTTACTATATGTTTCGGAAAAAGCCGTGGTCCCCCTCAGGAACATCAGGAAAAGCGAGTTTTGAGTTACAGCCTGAAACTTTGCACGTGTATAGGCCTCAATGAAAACAGTTTATTGTGAATGTTTCAGATTTTTCGGTTGCTCCTAGTCTGAGATAAGAAAATCGGATCCGCTGGGGTATATGAGCAATTTTATGATAATTGTATCTTAGGATAGGTGCAACGAAAAAAGCTGAAACTTTCACAATAAAGTATTCTCATTGAGCCCTATATCTATGCAAAGTTTGAAATTGAAATTCAAAATTCAGTTTTCCAAGTGTTCCTGAGGGGGACCACAGCTCTCTTTTCTTAAACATACAGTAAAAAGGCAGTATCTCAGCAATAATAAGCTAGCGGCACGAACTTTTTTCAGAGAATTCATAGATCGTTAGGATCTACATAATGCGCATATGCTCAACTTAAAAGCAATGTGACGGTTGAGAATACTCCCTCGTTAGTCCAAGAAATTTTCTTTGGACGAGATGCATATGATCAGAAATCAACATGAACTTCTTTTTTATATAGAGTATGAGCGTTGCTGATGAACATTGATGCACATTTAAGATCTTATTCCATAAACACCCACACCCTAATTCAACTTCTATAAGATTTATTTCGAAAGTGAGAAGAATTATTTACTACTCGAACTCAGAGAAAGAAATTTGATGCGTCTTGTTTTCATTGACATTATCTTCATTTAAATCAAATCGGAATGTTCACTTTGACAAGGGATTTCTTTTGATTATCGAAAATATCCATGCTCTACGATTCAATTTGTGAAGAGAATCAATTCTCAATTATTTTCATCTTATCATTTTTTCCAAGTGTCATAAAATGCTGAGTTTTTTTACTTCACTTGCTTGAGATCTTCAATTGATTGTTAAAGAATAAAAAGATATTGATCAATTTTCACAAATAGACAAAGAAAATCTTTAGAATCAACTTATTCTTATAGGATAAGATTAGTCAAATGGCTGATTGATAAATGAACATTGAATAGGATGTGGATGTGAGTGTAACTACACTGAACACCCACACCCACATCCATCATCGTTTTCTTAAGATTTTCTCCCATTATATTGCAGACTAAATATATTGTTCAGATATGTTTGCTCTTCATCTGTCACGTTCATTGGGTCCATTAGAAGCTGATTGATTGCTGCATCGATCAAGCCATGTTTCTTGTATTTCACAATGCATGCGAATCGACTAGTAATATAAAAATGCTCTTCAACTGTCTCTCATATCTTATCGCAGATTTATGGTTCAAGAAAATAAAACGATTCAGTATATAAAAGGTATGCGTCTCATCGCTTGACTTTCTACCAGAATCAACTCAAACTCTTCTTTTATCTTTATATGTGGATAAGGCTTTTTTTTATTAAATGTGCACTTTAATTCTCGGACATGCGCTCCTGCAACCATTGTTGCGACGGCTTTCACTTCATTTTCTATACTTTGTTTATATTATCTTTTTCCTCTCTGATCAATGGTAACTGTGTTTCGAGGTAGTGGCTCGCTTTTATCTTTACTGGCGACAGTGCCAAGTAGCAAACACTTCGAGAGACACATCATGCTGTGTCGCTAATTGATTGTGTTTCTCATTCGGCATGGTATTTCTAGCATGAGACTTCTAAGTGTTGTTTTTCTTCGTTATTCTTTTTCATTGAAAGAAATCGAAGTAACGTTACCGATCTGCTGGGCGTAAATGCACTGTAGTTTTCCTTAACGCATCACGTTCTATTGATTGTTATACATTTCGTTTTAAACGTCTATTTAATATCCTTGAGAAATATTTTAAGAATACAGTTCTTAGCAACTTCACTTGTTTCTGTGTGACGCTTCTTCGCGAAAAGTGCCTTATCTAATCTTCTAATTTGACCTAACAGAGACAAAATAGATACTATAAGCAGGTGAAACTCAAGCTCTATCGCACCATCGATGATACGTTTAGTCTTTTATACTTTTTTGAATAGGGCATATTTTCCTACCAATTATCCTCATCCTTTTTTTTTTGAAACAATCTTTGCTTCAACTTTCTCTTTTTCTATTCTGAAATAAGAATCGTAACGATTTTATGGATCATTCGATGCATCCGAATTATTACTATTGTGATTACTGATATATTGTAGCTGCTCATTGTACCTTCTAATCAACAAATACATGATGGATAACAATAACTTATCGAAAGTCAATAATAAGACAACAACAGTAGATAACAATGATTGTTCTGTTATAATATCTTCTAGTCATCGAAAGCCTTGTAGATTGGATTGGGCTGAGTCATCTTGGACACGATGGATTTATGTTATATTTTGGTGGTGGTTGAATCCAATTTTAAATATTGGTAGTAAACGTAAATTAACTGAAGATGATTTATTTGATGTATCGCCAAATGATGAATGTAGTCAATTGTTAAAGAAACTTGAAATAGTATGGGAAAATTATGAAAATAAATGTGAACACATCAACACATGGAAAATAGTTGTTAAAACATTTTGGAAACAGAGTTTCAGAATTGGCCTCATATTTTTACCATATCTTGCCGCAAAACTAGCTCAGCCTTTACTGATGAAAGGAATTGTTCTTAATATAAATGATTCAAATGCAGCTTCATACGTAGGCTATTTATATGCCGTCGGATTAGGACTTTCGACCACATCTCTAGTATTAATGCATCATCAAATTTTTTTTCGTACAATACGCATTGGAATCCAAATACGCATTGCACTCTCATCGATTATTTATAAAAGATTATTATCATTGCCAACAAGAGTAATTATGAAAACGACAACAGGTCAAGTATTAAATTTAATTTCAAATGATGCTAGTAAATTTGAAGAACTATGCAAATATATTCATAATTTATGGATGGCACCATTAGAAGCAGTGATTGTCTTCGGTATAATGTGGCATGAAATTGGTATTCCGACCTTGTTCGGTTACGCTGTATTGTTACTACAACTTCCATTACAATGGTTTTTTAGTAAAAAATTTAGAACATACAGGAAAAATACTATGCAATGGACTGATGAACGTGTAAAAATTACCAATGAAATATTAGTTGGTTGTCAAATTGTTAAAATGTATCGATGGGAAGAAGCATTGGAGACTGTTGTTCATAATACAAGAAAGAAAGAATTTCAAAGTATTCGAAAAGCGAATCGGATTCGAGCAATTAATATGGCCATTTATTTTTCATCATTATCTTTAATATCATTGGCTACGTTTGGTGGTAGTTGGTTAATGGGTCATACATTGTCCAGTGCAAATATTTTTACAATTTTATCATTTTTCGCTATAATAAGATATGAACTAACTAATGGCTTATCTTATGCTGTTGACACATTAAGTGAAAGTATGATAGCATCAAAACGTATTAATCAATTCATGAATTTATCAAAACAGACTCGTACAAAAACAGTACAAGAACATTCTACAGATGATCATAAACGTATACCAGGTAGTATAGTAATGGATCGAGCTTCATTTACGTGGGATTCGACTCAATCGGCTCAACTTATTGAAGTTGATTTAGATTTGAATGCTGGTTCATTAGTAGGTATTATAGGAACAACTGGTTCGTGTAAATCATCTCTTTTGGCAGCAATACTTGGTGAAATGTGTCTTATTGAAGGTATTAGTAAGATATATGGTAACATTGCATATGTATCTCAAACACCATGGATATTTGCTGGTACGATACGTGAAAACATCTTGTTTTGTAAACAATTTAATAAAGACAAATATGAACGTGTGTTGAAATCATGCTGCTTAGCTACTGATTTACAATCTTTACCAGCTAGTGATTTAACAGTAATAGGAGAAAAAGGAGTAAATTTGAGTGGAGGACAAAAAGCTCGTGTCTCACTTGCTCGAGCTTTGTATACTGAAGCTGATATTTATTTGTTTGATGATCCACTAGCAGCAGTTGATCCTACAGTTGCCAGAAAAATTTTTCAACAGTGCATTAGTAATGAAGGTGTTTTAAACGATAAAACACGTTTGTTAGTTACACATCAAATACAATTTTTACCAGAATTCGATCATTGTATTTTATTAGATCATGGTAAAATAGAAAAACAAGGTTTATTTGATGAATTATTAACAATAGATAAAGTTAAACAAGCCTATGAAAATCAACAGAAACATGTACACGACACGCGAAAAACCAATCAACAAAATGATCCTAGTATTTATGATGATGATGATTCCACGAAGCCATCGGAAATTATTGATAAAAGTAGTATTGTTCTAGAAGAAACATCTGTCAGTGGAACGGTCAGTGGTTATGTTTGGTTTAAATTATTTACTTCTAGTTATGGCTGGCTTGGATTCATAGTTTTAATTTTTTTCATGTTGTTGGGTCAAGGTCTTTATGATGCAAGTAACAAATGGTTAAGTGTATGGTCGTCCAAGATAGAAGCAGAGCAACGCAAAAATCACTATCCATATGTATATTTAGGATTGGTTATTGCCACATGCATAATCGCAATATTTCGTGCTGATTATTTTTTTCACATTATATTACGTGGCACATCTGTATTTCATAATAGGATGTTTAAAGGTGTTTTATATAGTTCATTGAGATTTTATGAGAGTAACCCTGTTGGTCGTATATTAAATAGATTTAGTAAAGATCAACAAGTTCTTGATGAATTATTACCCTTAACATTTTTCGATACAATTCAATCACTAATCATGGTATTAGGTGGTATTGTTATTATTGGTATGGCGATTCCATGGGTATTATTAATATTGGTCATCATTATCCCAGCATTTCTTTGGTTAAGAAAAATTTATGTAAGAATAAGCAGAGAAATAAAACGATTAGAGAGCGTAAGTAGAAGTCCTATTTATGCATTATTTTCTTCATCATTAAGTGGATTAATGACTATTAGAACATTCAAAGTAGAAAATGATTTCCTTAATTCATTTATTGACAAAATTAATGCCAATACGCGTGCACTTTTCATATTCATGTGTTCAACTAGATGGTTTGGTTTAAGATTAGATTTAATGACTTGTTGCTTAACATTTTTGACAGCAATTTTATCCGTAGTCTTACGTAAGAATTTGGATGCTTCATCTGTAGCATTGGGTTTATCATATTGTATTAATTTAACGGATCTCTTTCAATGGGCTGTACGTCAATCGGCTGAAACTGAAAATTATATGATTAGTGCTGAGAGGATCGATGAATACTCTCACATTCCTGCAGAACCAGGTTTTTATAAAGACGAGTTAGAACCACCATCGAATTGGCCAACCGAAGGAAGAATCGAATTCAACGAATATAAATTAAGCTATCGTTCAGAGCTTGAACCAGTATTAAAAGGTATAAATTTAAAAATTGAACCACACAATCACATTGGTATTATTGGACGTACAGGTGCTGGTAAATCGTCTATTTTTCAAGCACTCTTTCGATTAATTGATAAATCAACAACCAATGGTAGAATATTCATTGATGGAGTTGATATTAGCAGGATTAGTTTGAATGATTTACGGTCAATTTTAAATATCATTCCACAATCTCCTGTCTTATTTAGTAATACACTTCGATATAATTTAGATCCATTCAATCATTCTACTGATGAGCAATTATGGGATGCATTAGAAGCGGTTCAATTAAAAAAGAAGATTAACAACTTAAAAGATAAATTAAATACACAAATAGCAGAATATGGAAGTAATTTTAGCGTGGGCGAATGTCAGCTAATTTGTGTAGCAAGAGCAATTCTAAAACCAAGTAAAATTTTACTAATCGATGAAGCAACAGCACATGTTGATACGAAAACTGATGGATTAATTCAACAAATTTTACGCGAAAAATTTTCGACTCATACCATATTAACAATTGCTCATCGTCTGAATACAGTAATGGATAGTGATAAAATTGTTATTATGAATGATGGTATCATTGCAGAATATGGAACACCAAGAGAATTACTTATTGTGAAAAATGAACTATTCACTGACATGAATGTTGACGAGGAATTCGTTACATATCTATAATCCAAGACGCATCAGAGCAGTTTGTAATAAATCAATAATGTGTAACTCACAGAATTTCTTGAGAAATCTTGGCTATTTGTCTAATTGATTATTACGTAGATTAAACTGATCAGAACAGAATCTGATCAGATGTGTCTCTTTTGGATTTAAGCTCAATTCGGGACATAACAGTTAGCTTAAACATTGCAATTCATTGGACGTAAAGAAAGGAAAAGAACACGGATGAATAACTTTTCAAATTTAACAAATTTCTTAGTCAAACTAGAAATAGATCTTGGATCAGATTTCTGGTTTCTAGTGTGAAAGGAGATATCTAGAGTGAGTAGATGTGTTAGAGTTGGAAACAGATCGAGAAAATAGAACTGAGCCGGTCAGCGCACTGCTGGGTGTGGTTGTTGATGTCGATAATGGTACCACACCCACCCAATTGATACAAAATCAAGCTTCCTTCTCTTTTTTTTCTTGTTTCTGTCCTTGAATCGCATCGAGAGTCCTACTCCGCTTTCTTCTATTTTCTCTCTTTCCTTTACTTGCTTCTGGTCAAATTCTTTTTATGCTTTTTTTTATCTATGGCGTTACTTTTTTAATACCCACATGAACTAAGGCGATACTCCGTATAATGATATTAATGGTATCTCTAAAACTCATCACATTTATGTTGTTGCTTAATGCTTAAATATCATAATTTCTCTGAATATTATTATGTAAACCCTTCCAAGTGTTACATTTAAGAACATAATACAAAAATTCTTGAATTGAATTTTAATTTGTTCAAGTTCAATTAACTTTTGTCGTTCATTAAGTACATCGACAACCATATGCAGCAATACCAAACACGATTACATCAGATTCTAATTCTGATTCACATACCGAAATGAGTTTACACAATTGATTTACTTAGCTTTGTACAATCGATTGATATCAAAACACAAATGCTTTGTCGTTGAGTGTTACATCGTGCTGTGAATGATCTTTCCAAGTAATGTTCGAACAATTCAGATGTTTTAGCTAAAAGACATTGATCAACTGCTACACTGAAATATATGTTATCGACATCGGTCAATAAAATAATTTCCTCCTTTTTTTTGCTCTTTTCTTCTTTTCTGTCTTTAATCATTTCACACAAACAATCGAGAAGAACACCTTTTGGACTGTTTAATTGATTTCTGTGCAAAATCCACACACGTTAAGATCATATTCTTTTCATCAAGATAACTGTTGCCGTTTTGTCGGAGTTCTTTCAAAAATTTGGTATTTTGATAAGTCAAGCATGAGCACCATCATCAGCTATGTTACTCTTTTTTTTCGTGTAGACTTATCAATATTGAATATGCTTAACATTGTTTTTTTGACAGTTGATCCTTGTTTTACGATTAAAAGTGAAATGCAAAGCATTAGAATGTTCCTATTAAGATTAATTATTGTATTGTGATATGACAGAGAGCGACCTTCGAGCGACATGGATTATTCAAGTAGGATGAAGTAATCAGATATGACGTTACGAGTTCTTTTTATCTTACAGGCTTAATACTAATAATAAACAGAGAAAATGAATATAATGACGCACTTCGAAAGTCAATAGAAAAAGAAATAAGTAGTAAGCATTCAAACAGAAGGTTGAGAACAAAAAGACGATGGCCTACTCTCTCACGCAAGTAACTGTTGAACTGACGCGAACCATCGTGCCAATAATCATGGTTGTTGGTATAATAGGAAACGCGCTCAACATTGCCGTTCTTATTAGGCCTGTCCTGTATTACCATGCCTGTTCGCGTTATTTTCTGGCTCTTGCTTGCAATAACCTTTTCTACACAAGTGTAATTCTTGTTTATCGTCTTCTGGCCGATGGATACCAGCTTGATCTGACCAAGTCCTCCATTCTTTCGTGCAAACTCATCACATATATCTATCAACTAAGTGTACAATTATCACCATACTTTATTGTACTGGCCTCGATCGATCGATATTGTGGCAGTTCAACGAATGTCCAGCTACGCAAGTTCAGCAATGTCAAAACAACTCGATGGGCAATTCTGTTCGTCATCATCTTTCTAATGCTCTTTCATACAAATACTGCTATTCTGATCGATTTACGAGCAACCGACGCATTCGGATGTCGTATTCGAGCCGATACTGTCTACAAACAAGTCTATCCGATCATGCAAGTTTTTCTGTTTGCTATTATTGCACCTTGTCTTATGGGGCTTTTCGGTATCATGACCATCTCCAATACAAAACGAGTACATGTCCTTCCTACTGCAGGCTCGCATCATCGTCGCACGGAAAATCAACTAGTTCGCATGCTTATCCTTCAAGTGAGTACTCATATTGTACTTGCTGTGCCCACATGTGTAACCTATCTAATATTGGTCACGCCGAACACAATGCAAGGTACATCTGGCTTTTACTTTGCTCGTATGATGTCTCAACTTATCTTGTATTGTTCCTATGCCACACCTCTCATTTTATACCTTGCTACGGCTCGAATATATAGAAAAGAACTCATTTTGTTGCTGTACAGAATACTGCGATTACGTGGTGGTAATAGAGTTTATCCAACGTCAAACACAATGACAAACACTATCCAGGGAATCAACACAACGGTTCGCACAGTGGCACCAACACGTCAATGAACAGTATAGCCCACACTTTAATCCAGTATTCCACACCCACCACACCCTACCTTGACAACACGAAATAACTATTCATAGTTCATTCACGCTGCCAAGTACTAATTCATACCTTTCATTTCAAAAAATAAATATAATCTTTGCATTTTTGATCTTTTTGCTTTTTTTTAAATACGGAATGAGAACATCAGCGCGGATGTAGATGTGAGTGTAGGTTTCGGCGTGGGATCAATCTTCAGAGAGACTCATTCACCCATTCTAATCGACGTCGGTAACTATTTTTTTTTTATTGTAACATGTCTCAAAAAATCATTTCTGTTTATTCACGAAAAGAATTCTAATACGCTAGATTTCATGTTGGTTGCTCCGTAGCTGAGTCTCTGCTTCGATCACAACTGAACTGTTTATACTAATAGGCAAGTTAGATCTGAAATCTGTTTTCAGATATTCGGACATTTTTCACTGCGTGAACGTGCAGTGAGACACTGACTAGTGGATATTACTCTGTCACGTCATGAAGGTCTCAATACATTCTCCGAATATCTGAATTTATATTTCAACTTTGACACTATTATGATCTGCTTGATCCTTTATCTTCTTCAAGAAGATGCGCGACATGCGCCGCTTGTTCAGAGACGACCGATTGGCAGCTAAGAAAAAGGTACGAACAACTTCAATGACTCGAATTAGCTAGCAATTGCTCGTTAACAATAGTTTTAAAATGTTCATTCATATTGTAAGTGTTGACCTCGTCGATGGTCAGTTTTGTCGTTTTATTGTCCAAGTTATCATTGCCTCGCTTTGAACTCCAACCAATCCTCTCGTTAAGATTTTCTCGCGCACGTGCACTGGCCTCTTGTACTCGTGTCGCCCTCGGCTTTCTCAACTGTTCATACAACTGCAGACCATGCTCCACCGTATGAATTGTTTTGCCCCAGTAGTCTGGCGAGAAAATGAGAGCAAGTGCTGCGGCGTCCTCAATTGCCATACATGAACCTTGACTTTGATCGGGCAGCATTGGATGTGCAGCATCGCCAAGCAAAGCAATCCGGCCTTTTACCCAATAAGGGTATGGATCATGGACGACCAGTTTCCATAGTTTTATATCCTCAACGTGTTGAAAGAGTGCTAGAAGGTCAGGATCTAGATCAGGATAGAGCGAACATAGCATTGATGACGTTGCACTGAAGTTCCAGCCTTCTTCGCTTCGATCATTGTGTTCAGCTGGATAGAAGCAATAGAAAGCGACGATTTCACCATCAGAGCATGATGTCAAGACAATCTTATTGATGCCGAAACCACCCCAGAATTGGATAGCCCTGTCGGATGAAAAATCTTTAAGGCCAAGCTGTTTCACACGCGATGTTGGAATAACACAGCGATAACAAGCACTCGTACATGGTTTTGTTTGAGGTATAATGCCGATTAGATCACGTATGCACGAACGAACACCATCAGCACCAACGATTAGATCAACACGAGTTGATGTGCCAGTATCGAATGTTACAATACCGTTTACAAAATCGACGTCGACCGCTTTATGGTCAACGACAATAGTGGCACCCAAATTCTTTGCGGTTAACTGCAGTTGCTCGTGCAGATCGATGCGATGAAACATATGGTAATCGTAGCCCCATCTTTCCTTATAGTCGCTAAGATCGTATATGTCGAGGATTGTGCCATCGCTCCAGTTGCGCATAATAAGTTTTTGAACGATAACTGATCTATAGAAAAAGTCGAAGCGTATCAAAATAGTTCATCACTGAAGAATTGAAATGCTTTCTAAGATATGGAGTAATCAAAGTTTGTCTATTCTTGTTACTTTTTATTGTAGTAAGTTTTCTACTAAAAGTTCATCCTTATTTAAGATTTATATGCATCAAAATAGGAGTCGTACTACAATCTCGGCATCTGTCAGGCTCATATTAGCTCTGTACTACTATGTTTTGCCTTGCAGTCACACATATTCAAAGCTAAGTTTCAGTACGTAACTCGCACTTTTTTGTTTATCTCTAATGTCTTTGAGAGAAATACTATCTTAGCTTCTAAAAAATCTACCAGCGATACATCGAGTGAAATCATGGTACACCTGATATTGGTTTTCTTTATGATGAACTTTGATTCGATCTTCAAGTATGATAATGGTTTGGTTCATTTAGTACTCGGAAAACACTGTGAAGGATATGATTTTTTTTACAAACTATTACACAATTTCATAAAAGGAACGAAACGACACATTAGAGATCCCGATATTAGTCAGTGGAAAAGTCAGATTATAGTTCATCCTTCTGTCGGTACGAAAAAACACTCTTTTCAAAGTTTTATATTATGCTGCTCACGCAAAAAGTAGTTCAGTATCGAATTTTAAGGATTTAGTATTCATTAAAGAAACCTTCAAAAGGTTCTTTCCATGTGATGTCTAATCTGTATCCTTTGCAAAAATCAATTGAGCTTCAGATCTTGCTGATAGATTGGTATGCACTTTTGAAAAGTTCGAACTGATCAATTGCATCAAGCGTTACACTATGCATATTAATTACCTAGCAGCAACGGCATCGATACCCCACTGTTCAAGATATTTGGTCGCATTAGCAGCCACAGTGATCGAAGCACCGACTTCACTAGCAAAATGAGAACGTTCATAAACAGTCACGTAGTGGCCTTGATGTCTTAGAGCGATCGCAGCTGCTAGACCGCCGATACCACAACCAATGATAGCTACATGAAGTGGTACAAATGCAGTGACCTTAGTTGATTCCATTGAAATAATAAGTGTGTCCACAAAGCCTTCGAACTATTTGAGTATAGTCAATAAAACACTGGAATGGGAAAACACGTGTTGTGACTTGTCTAAAGTAAAAAACACGAGAAAATGCTGCTAAAGTTATATTTAATTTGTGTAAACGCTATATATATATATATATATATATAAAACATGTTTTGACATGAAAACAACAATCACTCGTAGACTCTTTGATAAAGTTTCACGCATTTTAGAGCAACTTATTCAAACAGACCCATTTTTTGTTTGCTTGGCAGTTGTCTTCTATTTTTTCTTCAGCATTAGTCGGTCAAGGTAATCGCTCAAGATTGTCACGATTGAAATGCTTTTTTGGGCTCCTAACATCGGCATTTGAGTATTCTCTTTCAAATACACAAATAATAGACTCCATGTCTCAGTATTTTTTATTACATTCATCTCGAAAACGAACGAACAAAGATTAGAACGAAAAAGAGTAGAGAATGAAAAGCTATTCGTAGGTATCAATAGTACCATCGGTCATCAATAGAGTTTCATCCTAATTGAGTTGTCAAGTTCAAGATCAACACAGAGACAATGCCTTCATGTAGTGCATGGAGAGGAGCGAGCAACGAATAGCGTGATGGACAAGAGATTTGCAGAAATAAGTGGAAAGTGAACGAAGGAGAGTAGTATGCGCAGAAGGTTGACGGGCAACTAAAAGTATTTATCAAGAGAAAGAAAATGAAAAGTAAAACTCTCAAACAAAGAAAAGAAACAGATAAGAGTGAGTGCTTACATCGTCAGCTACTGTCGGCAATACCTACTCTTTGCCTAGCTGCTAAACTTCAAGATAACAGCAAAAATGCTTACATTAATCAAATGACAGAAGACTAGATGGTGCAAGTGACAAGAAAGTGTGATTGACTTAAAACATGAAACATTTAGATCATCGTTAACAATTTCTTTTATCCTATCTACATAAATATGAGTAGGATAAAACTATATATTACTAATTTACCATGCTTTGAGAAAAATACTTCTTAGTTGCCACATTCAAATGCTAACATTTCGATGCAGTATCATCAATCGACTTAGTCGATGAGTTGAACCAAATTTCACATCAGCTTTGACACACACAGTTATTTTCCATAGATATTGTTTTTCATGAGTCAATAAAACAAATCTCATGTTGTTCATTATTCGATGTAGTGCAAAATCAATGCAGCAAAACTTTTCAATATTTATTTACTGTATGACAACGATATATACAAAATATAGAATGGAGTATCATGAGGTTGGAACAGATGTCAATCATTGTCATCTCACAGGAATCATTTTCAAATGGTTTTGAACAGACAAAAATGAATTCAAAATAAGAAAAAAAAACAAAAGAAGATTTCAGCATAATGTTATTAATACTTTTTAAATTTTCTTCCATATTTCATCCATATAAAGTAAGAGTAGTGTTTCCAAAATATGTTCACCCATTAGAAAACATTTCATAAGTTATATCATGACAGCAGAAAAACTCACAATCCAGCAGCTCTGAGTTCAGAAAGAGGGCTTGCGAACAGTCCATGTGGATGATTATTATCATGATAGAGAATTTGCATGTGCGTGTGTGAAATGAGATGGATGCTGATGTCCACTAGTTTATACACCCATACACTGAAACCCGAACCAACATCCACATACCAACACCCACATCCACATCCTTTTAATTACTTGATAGAGAAAATGAACGACAGTTGACATATTTTTGCATTTCACCGCCGAAATTCTGTATACAAAATGATCGTAAACATTTTCTTCGATGCTGCTTGATTGAGGGTGTGGCTGTGACTCTGGCTGTAGCTGTGTGAGTGTGCGTGAACTACTCCTTGAAGGCATACCCACACGTCGACACCCACACCCACAGCCACATCCTATAGCCACAGCCACACGCTCTAGCCACATCCCACACCCAATTTACACAATCTGATGCTTGACTACTGTTATTACCGTTTGCGAGTTTGCCTGGGGAGCGGTGCACATGTGTTACGGCGATCTAAGAAAAGACTGAAAAGCGAGTAGGAACCCAAAAGAATTTATTTATCCAATTAAGGAAAAAATATTTTCATCACTTGGATGCAGTCAATGTTAGCCATCAGTTGTTTAATCGAAGGACGTGTTGGTGGAAGTGATCTCCTTAAGATAGCAAGCGCCTTTTCTGAAAATTCAAGCACTTTCGGATAGTTACGCAACGCCATATGTGCTCCACCCATATTGTTGTAAGACGTAGCTAATAAGGGATGATTCGGGGGAAGAACCCATGGAGTAAAATATTCAAGGAAATGGACTGCGTAACGCGTTTCTGAGATTACAGCATGCGTTTCGCAGCGTTTTTTCAATATAGAACGCATTTCACAGCATTCTTGCTTCGATAGAATACGTTTTGCTGCTGTCGTTTTTGGAAACGATCTGAAATGCGTTTTTCCAAGATTGCGTTTCGAAGCGTTTCCGAAGTAAATTAATATCGAATGTATTTCGGTCGATAGGTAACGCGTTCCAGAGACACAGATTCAGAGAAATGTGAAACGCGTTTCCTTTTCAAACGTATTTTGCATCGTTTTTGTTTGAAATGATGCAAAATATATCCGTTTTGCATACAGAATCTTGCAGGAATTTATCTGTACAAAACGTACGAGTTAAGCAAAGTTAATTCTGGCACTATTTTAGAAATTATACTAAATGGGATTTGAACATTTTGTTCCTTGCACTGTTTCTCAACATGAAAATCATGACCCAAACTTTCCAAACGCAAAATTAAAATCGAATTCTTCTAAATGTTTAGGCTGCTAGACTGTTATATAAGTCTGATTGCTAGTTAGACTAATATTGAACATCAAAGTGTAAGAAAAATATTTTTTTCTTCCTTGAAAACTCATTTCACTAGGTTTTTATTGAAAGAAAACGTGTTTCGTAACGTTCAACCAAGCATTGTTTTAAATATTGAACAATTCGAAAAGATTTAGTGAAGACTGATGTTAGTATAATGTGTACGACAACTTTGTTTGTTTATTTGTGAAGAAAAGAATCTCGAGTTATTTATAATTTGAATAATTATTGGTATGAATTCATATTTGGACTACTTGATAGTGACTGATGATACTGTGTACAATACTTTTAAATATGAATTTAGTTCGTACTTTGTTAATGTAAGCGTGACTTATTAATAAAAAGAATATTTGATTTACAAAAGAAGATTCTTTGCATTTAGTGATACTTTTGGATAAAAGGATGACGAATTTACATATACAAAAATCTATCAAATAAAGAAAACAATTCAAAAAATTTATTTTTAAATTTCTTAAAATTTATATCTAACAGATTCAACTTGTCTAAATATTAAATACAATTTAAATTAATTAAAATCGTTTCAATTGGGTATTTAAATTTAAATTTAAACAAGTTCAAATTAAAAATATACCAAAAGGAGATCAAACTCGTTATTGGGTATAGGCACCAAGGAAATGATAATTTTTAATTTAATAGTTTGGGATACTGAAAATCCAATTTAGTAAGTTTACGGAAGACTCTGAAAGACTATAGAATAAGCCCTTATATCATTAGATTATTTTAGTTGAACGGTTTGTACACATGTCTTCTACTCTTATGTTCTCGTGTTCGAATCTATGTGTTGGCTTTATCAAAATTGATCTAAGTTATAGCTCTAAAGGTGTATGAAAAATGTAAGCGAGTAAATTAATTGTATCTGCAACTCAAAGTGCATGAAGTACTTGACGGTTTTCATTTTTTTTCCATCTAGAATATACGACATCACAGTTAGAGAAACGCTACGAAACGTTTTTAGAAAAACGATCGTTTCACAGCGTTCGTATTAGCAGATGTGAAATGCGTTAAACCGGTCAGCATTAACGCGTTTCGCAACTATGGAAAAATGCGTTTTGAGAACGCGTTTTTTTCGCAGAAATTTACGCCATGGGAAATTTTTCTTTGATTTTATGCGCTTTTTCGCAAAATTCAAGTGCTTTCGAATAGTCACTCATGCCCATATACACTGCAGCGATGTTGTTGTAGTTTTGAGCAAAGTCAGGATGATCCGTAGGCAGAATTTTTTCTAATATTTGGAGTGCTTTTTGAAGACATTTAAGTGCTTTTGTGTGGTTACCCATGCGTACATAGACTACACCGATATTATTGTAGGATGTAGCTAACGAAGGATGATTCAGAGGCAGAGGGTTTTCTTTTATTTTAGCCCCTTTTCATAAAGCTCGACTGCTTTCGAGTCGTTACTCAAGTTCCTATGTATCAAACCCATGTTGTTGTATAATGTAGCCAAAGTGGGATGATTCATAGGTAGATCTTTTTCTAGCAGTGTAAGTGCTTTGTCATAAAACACAAGTGCCTTTGAGTGTTCATTCATTTTTCCTAAGACTTCACTGATGTTGTTATAGGAAATTGCCACATCGTAACGATTCATAGGCATACCTTTTTCTGCTAATTTGAGTGCTTCTTGGTGAAATTCAAGTGCTTTCAAGTAGTCACCCATACCCATGTGCACTGCTCCAATGGTGTTGTAGGTGGCAGACAACGAAGGTTCATCTTCAGGGAAGACTTTTCGATATATTTCGAGAGAGTTTTTGAGAAACGAAGCTGCTTCTTCGTACTTTCCTTGCTTGAGTTTGGCGTGTCCTAAATTGTGAAGCAAACTAGCTCTAGCACTATCATCAGAAGTCTGTTCAAGTAGTGTGGTATACAATTCTGCCGCTTGTACGGATTGACCTATTATTAGCAGCAATTTAGCCAATCGTGTCCAGCCAATCTCGCCTGCGATTTCTACTCGGATACGTTCTGTGAGCTCGTGTAGTTGTTTGTCGTTATCTGACGTAAGTTCAAGCTCTACTTCATAAAGTGGATGGGAATTGCTAATTTTTCGCAGTTCTCCAATTCGAAAAACGGTATGCATGGAAAAGAGGATTTCATCTTTCGTCTTGAAATAGCTCGTTTTGCTGATGGATGCAAAAGGAGCCGATGAAACATTGGTATCTATGGACATTTGAAACAGGATGCCGATCATACCGAGTCTTTGTGAGGCACTCTCAGCGAAACACTTTGACAAATCACGATTTGTGCTAGTAGATAAAAAGTTATTGAATGATAGAAGTCCACCTTTGTTTGTCTGAAGCCTATCAAAGTCGACTATTGATAATCCTTGTACTCGAAAAACTTGAAGGATCTTCGTATGATCAACAGTGATCTATTGTTGGTTTAATTCTACAATTTGGCAATGAAGATCACGAATAAAAAAGCCCATTTTCTTAATTGTTTCAGTGTCCAATGTTCGAAGAGACGAATTGAGCTTCTCGTACACTGTAAAAAAAATTCGTAGAATAATAAACCCTAGTACTTAAGGAAAATCTTCCTAAACCCTTAAAGGGTTTATGTTTGTGTGCTAAACCCTTAAAGGGTTTTTGTGCGAAAGGGTTTCTGAGAAAAAGGGTATTTAAAAATAAAAAGGGTTTATGACAACCGAAAAAGAGTATTTTGTTCTACCCTTTCATGAAAAGGGTTTATTATACTACGGCTAAGGGTTTATCGTTCTACTCTTTTATGAAAAGGGTTTATTATTCTACTCTTTCATGAAAAGGGTTTCTTATTCTACGGATAAGGGTTTATTGTTCTACTCTTTCATGGAAAGGGTTTATTATTCTACGGATAAGGGTTTATTGTTCTACTCTTTCATGAAAAGGGTTTATTATTCTACGGATAAGGGTTTATTGTTCTACCCTTTCATGAAAAGGGTTTATTATTCTACGGATAAGGGTTTATTGTTCTACTCTTTTATGGAAAGGGTTTATTATTCTACGGATAAGGGTTTATTGTTCTACCCTTTCATGAAAATGGTTTATTATTCTACGGATAAGGGTTTATTGTTCTACTCTTTCATGAAAAGGGTTTATTATTCTACGGATAAGGGTTTATTGTTCTACTCTTTCACGAAAAGGGTTTATTATTCTACTGCTAAGGGTTTATTGTTCTACTCTTTCACGAAAAGGGTTTATTATTCTACGGATAAGGGTTTATTGTTCTACTCTTTCATGAAAAGGGTTTATTATTCTACGGATAAGGGTTTATTGTTCTACCCTTTCATGAAAAGGGTTTATTATTCTACGGATAAGGGTTTATTGTTC